AAATAATTGTTTAGTGTACACTAACCTGAGGATACTCTCCTGCTGATAGTTTTCTCTTCGTCGTAGGCCTTCCTGATGGACGTTTTGACTTAGGTGGCATAATATTAAGGTCACGCACCTCTGCTGGGATACGAATGTCGTCAGGGTCGGGCACTGGTAGGATTTTGCCACAAACTGTTGCACTCCAAATTGAATTCTTAAGAATTGGATCAACCAAACTGCTGTACTCCACTTGCCGAAGCCTAGCCGCGGCCATTGCATGTCGGCAAGGCTATTTCAATGTCTGAAACTCTAGACATGAGCATGTTTTGTTTAGGAGATCAACAAGCCTCTGTACACCGAACTCAGAACTCACTTCAACCTCCCACAAAGAAATGCCTTGAACCGATAGTGCAGCAGATTTTTGCTGCTGCAGGTTCATTAACTTGTCAACTTCTTATGTAATGTCACCATCCATCTTTTGAATTTTCTCTCTTCTGCATTCAAGCCACCTACTTAACATTCGCCTGATAAATTCTAGCATTACAACGATTGGACTGTCTCTTGCAGCGAATAGTGCATTGTTCAGAGACTCTGCAATGTTACTGGAGGTCATATTATACCTCTGACCAGAAAAGTGTGATCTAGTCCACATCGCAAGAGGGATTTTTTCCATGTACTCCCAACAACGATAATCAACATCCTTCAGCCTTGCGTATAGTTTCTTGAAATTAGAAACTGTGAACGCTTCTCCAGCCTTTCCGACCAACCCTTTCTGACCGGAACCTTTGTATTTACCGTGAACATTTCTCTGGATATGGACAAGACATGCACCGTGGTGTGACTGTAGATACCATTTCTTTTTAGCTTTGGCAATTCCACCGTGCCTATCCGAGATAATAGTAAGATCAGAGGAATCTGGAATAATTTCTACCAACTTCTCAAAGAACCACCTCCATGTCTTGTCAGACTCTGCATCGACAATGGCGAACGCTATTGGAAAAACCTGGTAATTAGAATCTTGTCCACTGGCCGTTAATAGACAACCCTTATACTTACCAGTCAGGTGAGTCCCATCAACAACAACTACTTGTTTCAAATGTTTCCATCCAGATATACACGCAGCCAATGCCATAAATACGGACTTAAACCTGGTAATACATTTTCCATCTTTTTCACTCTCTCGCTCTCGGTTGACAAATGCGTTATGGTGCCGGGGTTAGCATACTTGAGCACATGGAGGTAAATCGGTAATAATTTGAAAGAAGTCTCCTCTGTTCCATGAGCAGAGTATATAGCCAGCTCCTTAGCTTTCCAGCATTTCCAGTACGAGGCTGTAATATTATATTCGGAGAGAAAAATCGCAGGTAGCTGACTCGCACGTGGCCTAACTATTGCATTCTCATACTTAGACTTCAGCAGGGCCGCCATGACTTTAGAAGTAGCATGTTTAGAAAATTTCTTTCTTGTATCCGGGTAGCATGTATGCTTCAAACATGCCTTCCTCACCACATACAATGCAGACTCGCCAACTTGACACCCCAACACTCTCCAATCACATATCTTTGATGGACATTCGGCGACTGTGTACTTCTTCGCATGATTTTTGAATTCGAACGCCACTACATTCTTAAGCGCATTGATGGCCAACGTGATTTTAAAGTGTTCCTTGTTCCTGAACTTTTTCCCAACCCATATCTCTCCATCTTCATTTGACAAATCAAGTTCATCGAAATCCCCTCCCATTTCATCAGAGACTGGTGCCACATCCGGAAATCCATATAGTTCTGTACGTTTAATCGCTTTTTTCAGCTCTGCACCGCCATTCTGACGCCCCCAACTGACATCACCTGTCGGAGTCTGCACAAAATCATCATCATCTCCATGGGGAGCCAGAACATTCTCACATACAGTCCTCTTTCTTCCAGGAAAATGAATAGGACTCTCCGTTAAGACAATGGAGTTGTCCATATGGTTTGAATCACTCGGCTCACTTCCGCGAGTATTTCCACAACCCCTTGAACTACCAGAGTCATCCTTATCCTCATCAAATCCAGGTTTAGAATGGAAACCCTTACCATCTGCTAGTACGTAATCATTCCACCAGTCAAAATCATAATCCGGATCATAATCATCATCAGAGCCGTATGCGTCATCGTCAACATCATCAGCTTCCTTCTTTTCCGAATCTCTCACCTCGTCTGATTCCTGGGACATTTTTAATTCCAACTCAGGGTGGTCAACAGAGACAGCGTGACTTGGAACATCAGGTTTTACATTAACGGAGGTGTTAGTGCTGCTTTCTCTGATTCCTGGGATATTTTTAATCCCAATGGAGGATGTATAACAGAGACAGCTTCAAGTTGTACACCTTTGGAGGTGTTCATTGCGGCCTCTGCCTCTACTTTCTCGGCATGTGCTATCAGCAAACAATCATCGATATCTTCATCATCTGCTTCATCATCGGGTTGACTAGACTCTGCCGAAGAAGAGGCTATGAAGTTTGTTGGCCCTAAGGACTTTTGCCGTTCCCTCGCTATTTGAACTTCAAGACTTTCTTTCTGTTTCAATCTCACCATTTTACCATTTACTGACTCCTTGAATGTGACAAATAAATTCACAGACTTGTCAGACTTATGCAGCGAAAGGAAGAATTTGTACTCTCGAGGAGTAACTATTACACATGGACAACTCCCATCACCATTAAGCTCAGCTAGAACATCATCAAACCAGTAGGAAATCTCCACCGAAACAACTCTCGGGTCTAATCCGAACTCATGCGCAATCAGATTTCTCAAATCATCTGGTCCGGACACATCTTTGCAATTTATGCACCTTCCACGACGAGATATGTCCATTTTGAAATCTCATTCTCCTGTATAGTACCTTATCCACGTTCCCGCCATTACAAGAATGAATGCATCCACTGCAATTTGCGAACACCATATCTAAAAAACTACTGGAAAATAGCGAACACCAGACCGAAAAAAATTCGAAAATAACAATGACAAATCTATGGGTATACAATAATAGGATTAAGTAACTAACCGTGGTTGTTGTCCTCTTGATCATCGCATAATTTCCCCTTCAATTTCAACATCTTCTGGAAAAGGAAACTAGGGTTTCTAATTTGGTTAAGGTACTTTGTTTCTTATTTTAACCAATTTATCTCCATTATCTCTAATTAACCACAATTTTTTCCGCCAAAATTAAAAAGAGAATGGGAAGGGTAGTTTTGCGTGTAATGAGTTGGGTAGTTTCCGGCCCATAACCGAGGCCCAGTAAGGTGGTTTTTGGGAATTTCATTCCAAAATTCGAAATCAGGCCCAAAAAACGACCCAATCATGCGCGTAAGTGCTCTCTTCCCGGCTGTACGCGCGCGAATGTAGACTACGCCTGGGACCCACAGTATTTTCTGCGTTTGTCTCTCTCTAAGGAACAGACTACTCTGCCTCTCTCTCTCTCAGAGAGAAGGGTAAGTTTGGCATTATGAAAGTATGTCCCTACCCTGATTAATTAAAACTTAAAACTACCCTTTTCTCAAATAAAAACTTAAAAACTGTTATAAACAAATGGACTTCTAGTAACCGGCCCATTAACCATCAGGTTAATGTCTCATGGCCCATTAGGGTTTCTGATGCATTAGTTATGTAATGTATATATACACTGCTTATGGAAATAATAAGATCTGAGTTTTTCCCTTAATACATTATCAGCACGAAGCTCAACTTCAAACGATCATATCTCTCAAAATACAAGGAGTTAGAAGGCGATCTACATATCATTTTGAAGCCCTGGAAGAGAGGAATCTAGTGGTGAAAACCGCTCCTCAATCCGACACCAGACGCGCCCTGAAGACTCAAAACAATCGGCGCTATCCCACCTTAGCGGGTGATTCTTTCCAAGCGGTGGTTCCTCCATTGTAGCAGCTGTTCGTCCTCCCTTCTGGCCATCCTTCTCAGGAGTTTCCAGTAGATATCTGTGGTCTTTAGCTCCCAGATCATAAGCCGGTCAGAAATCCATTTGGCGAAAAGGTATTATCTAAAACTATAGATCCTAATCAAAGTTTTGGTTTTTTTTTTTTGAAAACCCTAATATGGATCGGTTCTTTTCATGATTCTTCATCGTCTTTTTCGTTTTAAAACTATAACCAAACCGATCCTCTTTCTTCTTGTCAAAACTCTAATTGGTTTTATTTTTCCTAATCGGCTTTATCATATAAAACCTAAACCTTAATGCTTTGTTCAAACCCTATACCGATCGGTCCTAGCATCATCTAAACCAAACACTAAAATTCCTTGCAAACCGAAACCTAAATCTTTGCAAAACCCTAGATCTAAAATCGTTTTGGTTTGTCTATCGTTAAACCGAGATCGATCGGTTTATATCCTAAACCGATCGGTTATTTATCTTAGATCCGATCCTTGAAAACCCTAAAAAGCTCCTAAATCCTAAAACCGATCGACCCCTTAAAATCTAAACCAATCGATCCACCTAAACCGTTTATAAACCGATAAACTCTAATCCTAAATCGATAGGGTTTAAGTTTAAACCGATCAGTTTTTCCTAATAAAAATTAAACCCTAGCAAATCCGTTTAGTTCAATCCCTTAACCGATTAATAACCCTAATAACCGGTTTCAAAAATTAAATCTAATTTAACCGGTTTTGTTGTTTAATCGATCAATCCGATCGGTTTAAGCTTAATCGGTTAATTTCAAATTAGTTTCCAAAATCAATCTCTAGATTGCCTAAACCCTAAACCCTAAACCCTTAAAAAAAAAAAAAAAAAAAAAAAAAAAAACCAATGTTTATCTTTTAGAGCTAAATTTGGAAACCCTAGTAAACCGGCTAGGTTATAAACCCTAAGGTTCGATTTTAGAGTTCCCTTATATAGCAAGTTTCCTAAAATAGCAAGTTTCCTGAAATGGAAAGTTTTCCCAAGAATACCTTAAATCCCCTATTCCAATGATCATAGTCTCATACTATTGATTATTTAACATAAATTATTATATGTTTCAGATGTCAAACATTCAGAAGGTCGAATATGAGGCACTCACTGTCTTCGGAGATAACTACCTCAAATGGGCCCTTGACACCAAGATCTACCTCAACTCAAAAAGTCTGGGTGAATGCATCAAAGATCCCAACACTGCGACTCAAACAGAACGGTACTCAGCGATATTTATTATCCGCCATCACCTCGCTGAGTCTCTCAAGCAACAATACCTCACTCTTGAGGATCCACTCGAACTTTGGGTGGCACTGAAAAAGCGATATGACCATCAGAAAACGGTCATACTGCCCCAAGCCAAGTTCGACTGGAAGAACCTACGGTTCGAAGATTTCAAATCCGTCGAAGAATTCAATTCTGAACTCTTTCGGATAGTTGCACTCATAAAACTATGTGGCGAGGAGGTCACTGATAAGGATATGCTAGAGAAAACATTCTCTACTTTTGGCACTCCCAATGTTGTTCTCCAACAACAATACCGTGCCATGAATCATAGCACCTATGAGAATTTGATATCTTGCTTACTGCTTGCTGAGAAGAACAATCAGCTTCTGTTGAGGAACAGTGCCATGCGGCCTCCAGGATCAGCCCCATTGCCAGAAGGAACCAGAAAAGAGTCCAACTTCGTCCAACGTAACAGATCCTCAGATCGTGGATGTGGACGTGGAAATGGACATGGACTGCGTGGCAGAGGACGCGGTAGACCGAACCAAGATAACTGACCTAACCTCAGTTTTGGTCGGGGTAAGGGTCGTGGTATCAACAAACCGACCCAAAGAGGCAGTTCATCTAGACTAATCATTGGATCAAGAACTGCCGTACTCCCAAATATCTTGCTGAGCTCTACCAGAAGTATGGGAAAGATAATCATGAGGCTAACCTGGTTCATCAAGTCAATGAAGATGACTCAAAGGATGATAAGATTGATGGCATGGATTATGAGCTCTCCGACCTCCTTGATTGATCTCAAAAATCTGAATTTGTTTTTCATTACTCCTTAAACCTTTATCTTTTGTTTTTGGGATTTATTGTCTTTACTTTGGATTTTTAAGACCTTTTGCTTTTACATTTTAATTTATGGAGTAATGTTTTATTTACATCTCATTTTTGCATGTTATTGAATTATAATTCTTGAAGATATGCAAGACAATATGGATATCATTGTGGATAGTGGATCGAGCCACACCATTCTAAAAGACAAGAATTACTTCATAAATTTAGTAATCAAAACCGCAAACATTAGCACTATAGCGGGTAGTTCGAGCCTAATAGAGGGCCATGGCCAAGCTAATGTGTTGTTATCAAATGGCACATATCTAGACATCTCTGATGCCTTATACTCACCCAGTTCTAAGAGAAACCTATTGAGTTTCAAAGACATAAGATTGAATGGTTTCCATATCGAAACTCAGGATGAAGGGAACAAAGAGTTTTTAATTATCACTAAAATGATAAATGGCCATAAACAAGTTTTTGAAACTATACCCGCCGTATCTACTGGCATTTACCATGCTAAAGTCAGTATGATTGAGGCTAATGCTGCTATCAAAACACGGTTTTTAGATTACACTATTTGGCATGATCGCCTGGGTCATCCCGGTGCGAACATGATGCATAAATTAGTCCAGAATTCTAAAGGGCACAGCCTTAAACCAAATGGTATTTTCCCTCAGCACCTCAAGTGCACAACTTGCTCACAAGGGAAACTGATTACCCGACCTTCACCAGTCAAAGTGTCTAAAGAGACCTTGAACTTTCTGGAAAGAATCCAAGGAGACATATGTGGACCAATTCACCCACCTTGTGGGACATTCAGATATTTCATGGTCTTCATTGACGCATCGACCCGCTGGTCGCATGTCTGTCTGCTCTCTTCTAGGAACCAGGCTTTTGCTAGGTTATTGGCCCAAATCATCAGATTACGAGCCCATTTTCCAGACTTCCCATTAAAGACTATACGTCTTGATAATGCTGGTGAATTCACTTCCCAAGCGTTTAATGAATATTGTATGTCCATGGGGGTAAGTGTTGAACATCCCGTTCCACATGTCCATACACAAAATGGATTAGCTGAATCCTTCATTAAACGAATTCAATGGGTTGCTAGACCATTACTCATGAAGTCACAACTCCCGGTCTCAGCTTGGGGACACGCAGTCTTACATGCCGCTGAACTAATACGCATACGACCATCTAGTGAGCACAAATATTCACCATCCCAATTGCTAACGGGTCATGAGCCAGACGTCTCCCATATTAAAACATTTGGGTGTTCAGTCTATGTACCCATTGCACCACCACAGAGGACTAAAATGGGATCTCAAAGGAGGATGGGAATATATGTTGGTTTTGATTCTCCCACCATCATAAAATATCTCGAGCCAACTACAGGAGATCTGTTTAAAGCCAGATATGCAGATTGCCGATTTGATGAATCGGTATATCCTAGATTAGGTGGTGAGACAGACAAGCTGGTAAAAGAACTTTCATGGAATCAAACATCCACACAATGGCAAGATCCTCGGACTCTAGAATGTGATTCAGAGGTCCAAAGAATTATACATTTACAAAAGCTAGCTAATCAATTGCCAGATTCCTTTGCTGACCCGAACAAAGTTACCAAATTGTACATACCAGCTTGTAATGCACCAGTACGAATAGATGTCCCCTCAGGGAAAAGTCAAGTTGCTACAGAGTCTGACGCACGTAAGAAACGTGGCAGACCACCAGGTTCCAAAGATAAGAATCCCCGGAAATCAAAGAAAGGTGCAATGATTGAAACCGGGATTCAAGAGAACACGGATACAGCCTCAGCTGATACTTACCCTATCGAACCATCTCAAGAGGTTTGGGACGCCAAAACTCAAGGTTCTGAAGGGATTGATAATAATGAGATCTCAATCAATTATATCATATTCGGTTCTCTATGGAACAGAAAAGATGTTGACATCAATGAAACTTTTGCATACAAGGTAGCACTTGAGATTGCGCACACGCAAGAGGATCTAGAACTCACGTCTATAATTGAGTGCACTCGTAGATCAGATTGGCTGAAATGGAAAGAAGCCATAAACGTGGAGTTGAATAGTTTAAAGAAACGGAATGTGTTTGGTCCGATCTTAAGGACACCATTCGATGTTAAACCAGTGGGAAACAAATGGGTCTTTGTGCGTAAAAGAAACGAACTCGGCGAAGTCGTTAGATACAAGGCACGCCTTGTAGCACAAGGATTCTCACAGAGACCCGGAATCGATTATGAGGAGACTTATTATCCAGTGGTGGATGCAACTACATTTCGATTCCTCATAAGTCTGGCCATAAGAGAAAACTTAGATTTGCGGTTAATGGATGTTGTAACCGCATATCTTTATGGACCACTGGACAGTGAAATCTATATGAGATTACCAGATGGTATTGAGCTCAAAGATAAGCATGCATCTCGTGATAAACACTGCATTAGGCTGAACAAATCCTTATATGGACTGAAACAAAGCGGACGTATGTGGTATAACCGGTTAAGCGAATATCTCATCAGAGAAGGCTACGAAAACGATCCGATCAGTCCATGCATCTTCATCAGAAAATATCAAAACAAAGGATTTGTAATCATAGCAGTATACGTGGATGACTTGAACATCCTCGGAACATCTGGTGAAATCGCCCAAACAGTTGAATGCTTAAAAGCAGAGTTTGAAATGAAAGACCTAGGCAAAACTAAATTCTGTTTGGGATTACAACTTGAGTACGTCAATGACGGAATCCTTGTGCATCAATTGGCATACACTGAAAAGGTACTCAAGAGATTCAATATGGACCAAGCCCACCCATTAACCAGCCCAATGGTTGTGAGGAGCCTTGGATTGGATAGTGATCCATTCGGTCCAAAGAAGGACGATGAAGAAATCCTCGGTCCTGAAATGCCATACCTCAGTGCTATAGGAGCATTAATGTACTTGGCTAGTCACACTAGACCAGACATCTGCTTTGCCGTGAGCCTCTTAGCTCGCTTTAGTTCGTGTCCAACTCAAAGGCACTGGAACGGTATTAAGCACATCCTTAGATACCTTCAAGGTACTAAGGACTTGGGATTATTTTATTCTAACCATAACAAGGATGGTCTAGTTGGTTTTGCTGATGCAGGATATTTGTCAGATCCGCACTGTGCCCGGTCTCAAACCGGTTATGTTTTCACGCATGGAGGAACAGCCATATCTTGGAGATCCATGAAGCAGACTATTGCCGCTACCTCATCCAACCATGCGGAAATCTTGGTCATTCACGAAGCTAGTAGAGAGTGTGTTTGGTTGCGGTCCATGACTCAGCATATCCGATCAGATTGTGGTATGGACGAAGATAAGGAGCCTACGGTGATGTATGAAGACAATGCAGCTTGTATCGCTCAACTCAAGGACGGCTACATCAAAGGTGACCGGACGAAGCATATTCTGCCCAAATTCTTCTTCACTCATGAGCTACAGAAGGATGGTCAGGTCAAGGTTTAGCAAGTCCGATCAAGCGAAAATTCAGCCGATCTATTCACTAAATCATTACCGACTTCTACACTCCGGAAGCTCATTCATCAGATAGGAATGCGTAGACTTAGAGATCTACAGTGATGCCTAAACCAGTGGGAGTAATGCGTGTTGTACTCTTTTTCCTTCACCATGGTTTTTCCCACTGGGTTTTTCTGGTAAGGTTTTAATGAGGCAACGTTCCCCAGCGCATTATAGAGATCCCGGTTTTGTGACAGGCACGGTTACCTTGTCCAAGGGGGAGTGTTAGAAACAAATGGACTTCTAGTAACCGGCCCATTAACCATCAGGTTAATGTCTCATGGCCCATTAGGGTTTCTGATGCATTAGTTATGTAATGTATATATACACTGCTTATGGAAATAATAAGATCTGAGTTTTTCCCTTAATAAAAACGTCATTATTTTCAAAACAACCCTAAAATGACACAATTGTAATTATTCTAGCAATTAGAGACCATTTTTAATATAATTCTGAGAATCTCTCTGAATTTGACACTTCAGCATGGCACAATTGTAAATTACACATGACACAAAAGTTTTTTTTTAATGTGTCTTTGTAAAATAATAATAGAAGATATTATCTTATATTTTTTTTATTATCTAAGCATCTAATATATAAAAGATGAAGGGCATCCTCCACGGATTGACAACTCAACATTTGAGAGCCAATAAGAAATTAATATTTATTCTTCTTAATAATACATATACAAATTTTTTTTTGAATATAAATGAATCAACCATTTTAATCTGATTTTTATTATGTTAAAAATATTAAATCATAAAGTAATAAAAATTCAACTCAAATTTAATTTAAATATCCTATATGTATAAATAAAAAAACTGATATTAGATTTTAATTTGGTCTTTTTTTCACTGTGTGTTATACTCATCATTTTTGAAATAACAAAGATAATTTTCTCGCAGCGAAATAAAAATTTAATAACAAGTAATAAAATTAAAAATTTCCAAAAACTGAAGAATAAATTTTTTTTAAAAAATATAAGAGCTAGAAAGTCAAAACACACAAAAGAATATTTATTAAATAATCAAAAGATAAAGAAAAAATGACAAAAAGAATATGGTAATAAATAAATATAAAATTATAGAGGCATGGCAAACATAGATAGAACCAACTAAAAAATGAAAACAAAACATGAAAATAGTAAATTGAAAAAAGTAAAAATAATC